AGCAGAGGTTTTCTCGCTGGGATTTTGGGGAAGGGGTTTTGTAGAAGGGGGTTGGTTTAGGGAGGAGCAGAGGTTTTATAGAAGGGGTTAGAGGTTTTGTAAAAAAGGGGGTAGGGGTTTTGGTGTAGAGGAGAGGTTTTGTAGAAGAGGGGCCAGGCATTTCTGGTGAAGTGGCAGGGGAAAGGATTTTGTGGAGGGGGCATGGGTTTTGTTGAAGGGGGACCAGGGGGTTTGTAAAGGGGGCAGGAGTTTAGTATAAGGGGAGCAGGGGTTTTGTATAAGGGGAGCAGGGGTTTAGTAGAAGGGGAGCAGGGGTTTAGTAGAAGGGGGCAGGGGTTTAGTATAAGGGGGCAGGAGTTTAGTATAAGGGGGCAGGGGTTTAGTATAAGGGGAGCAGGGGTTTAGTATAAGGGGAGGCAGGACTTTAATATAAGGGGGGCAGGGGTTTAGTATAACAGGGCAGGACTTTAGTATAAGGGGGGCAGGAGTTTAGTATAAGGGGGCAGGAGTTTAGTATAAGGGGAGCAGGGGCTTAGTATAAGGGGGCAGGGGTTTAGTATAAGGGGAGCAGGGGTTTAGTATAAGGGGGGCAGGGGTTTAGTATAAGGGAGCAGGGGGTTAGTTGAAGGGGAGCAGGGGCTTAGTATAAGGGGAGCATGGGTTTTGTAGAAGGGGAGCAGAGGTTTATGTAGAATGAGTGCAGGACTTTTGTAGAGGGTGGCAGTGGTTTTGGTGGAGGGGGAAGGTTTTTAGTGATATTATGTGAACATTGCTGTATAGTTGATATATATAATGATAGCATGTGTTTTGTTAAAGGGGGAGAAAAAAAATTATAGAAGGGTGGGCAGGGGTTTTATTAAAGGGGGAGCAGGGGTTTTGTAGAGGGGGCAGGGGTTTTGTAAAAAGGGGGGCAGGGTTTTTGTAGAAATGGGGGCTGGGGTTTGTGGAAGGGTTTTGTAGAAGGCGGAACAGGGCTATTGTAGAAGGGGCAGAGGTTTTGCTGAAGGGGGGGGGGGCGCCATATGTTGGGCTCGCACAGGGCGTCTGATCACCTAAGGCCGGCCCTGGGTGTCACTTATTGACTTTGCACTCAGTCGTCAGATACCAGCTGGTGAATTGTCCTGTCTTGTGGCGCTGTCACTCGCTAATAGCATCAAGGGGTGAGGTTGGACGTCTTTAACCCCTAAAGGACGCTAGACGGAAATGTTCCATCATTGCAGCACTCCCCTTAAGGACGCTGGACGGAAAATTTCCGTCCAAAATAAAAATTAACCCCTGATTGCCACAATCGCGGCAATCGTGTGGTTAATCTTCCTGTAGTGTGTCTCCATATCGGAGGCACACTACCATGGGCAGTTTCACTTTCACAGCCCATGTGATCGCTCTGACCGGGAGTCAGAGCGATCACACGTGCTGCAGCGAAACCTGATCTCTTTCCCTGCAGCTCCTTGTGAGCTGTGAACTGCAGAAAGAGAGATCAGTGCTGATTTGTCTCTGGCTATAAAAAAAAAAACCAGTTAGTTACAACAATGGTTGTAATAAGTGTATTTTAGTCAATAAAAGTTATTTTTGGTTACCTTTCATTATAGGACCAATTCTATACTTATTTTTATTGCACTTTATATACTTTCTATTTATTTTTCTACTCCTGGCATTTTTTATACCATATCATTATTTTTAAAATTACCTTATTATTTTTTATTTATTTTTTTTATTTTATATTATACTTTTACCATTCTATTTTTTACTACTGAAGTGTATCCCGTCCAAAGAAATCCTGAGGTGGGGATAATTCCACCAGTGCTGTGGCAATAGAGCAGTACCTGTCTCAGGGCCGTCTTTAATAACGAATGGACCCTGGGCAAGTGTTTGCTTGGGCCCCCTGTGCCCTGCCGCTCTCGCCCCTCACTCCCTGGTATGCAATCACGGCATCCATCCCAACGCAGTGGCGGTACTAAAGTAGAATGAATTTTATTGGGACCCCCAATTGCAAGGTTGGACTAAAGGTAGAACCCCATCTGTCGTGCAACTCAACAATGCTTTGACAGCTGGGACTCTACCAATTTCCCATGCTTGCAGGGTTGTATTTAGCACTGAGCCATGTTAGTATGAATGTAAGCATGTGTTTGTATGGAGTATGTTTGTGTGAATGTGTTTGTATGTGGTACTGGAGTTTGAATGCAAGTGTGCATTTATGTGTAGTGTTTGTTTTTGAATGTAGGAGTGTGCTTGTATGTAGTGTTGACGTTTCAATGCAGGAGTGTGTTTTATATGTAGTGTTGAAGTTTGAATGGAGGGGTGTATTTGTATTTAAAGTTGCGGCTCAGATGCACAGGTACACACTCTGACGCACAAGCAGATACACAGATACATACACTGACTACATACAGATAAACAGGCACATACACTGACAGACACACTGACACAGGTACATATATTGACACACACACAGACACATACACTGGTAGGCGTACTGACAGACATACTGACACAGGCACATATACAGACATACTGACACACAGACACATATACCGACATACTGACACACACACACAGACACATACACTGATCAACATACTGACACACATACACTGACAGAAATACTGACACCCACACACTGACAGATATACTGACACCCACATACACTGAGAAATACTGACACACACACACAGGCACATACACTGACACACACAGACTGATATGCTGACACACACACACACAGACATACTGGCACACAGACAGATATACTGACACATGCATACACATGCACTAACAGACATACTGATGCACTGACAGACATACTGACACATACACATACTGACACACACAGATATACACACACATATATACTGACACACAGACAGACATACTGACACACACACAGACATGCTGACACACACACACATACACTAACACACATACACTAACACACAAACACACACACTAACACACATAAACACACACATACATACACTAACACACACATATACTAACACACAAACACATACACTAACACACACTAACACACATACACTAACACACACAAACACACACATACATACACTAACACACAAACACTAACACACACATACACACACACACAAACACATACACTAACACATACA